AAAGGAGAATTTTGGGTATTTAGGGGGACCCAATAATTTGATTTATTATAAATATTTTTGTATTTTTTTTAGAAGATAAATATTTTTGTTTTCATGATACATAAATGTGTCGGTCTATTTCTTCTTTTATGATGAATATGACAATTTATAATTAATTTTTCTCTTCCAATTTAATTCACATATTTATTAGGAGATTATGTATGTATATATATTTTCCAAATGAAGTTTATCAAGAATAATTGTAATTTGAAAAATATGGTGTGGAAATTTCTGCTATTAATAAAGGTATTATCTGCTGAAACTGTTAAAGATAAAAACCTTCTATAATTGAATGTATAAAACCAAATCTGAATTTTCTTTCTTGGAATATGTATAGGTTGCAATCCTATTTGGCCATAGTTTGTATAGTCTTTGAGTACTCTATCTTGCCATGTCCCTTGATGGTTAGGTATGCAATGTTGCCTCTTTGACATAAACTACATTTTTGCTTTCTTTTTTTTCCGGTGTTTGTTTAAATTGCTTTAGGAAAATCATGGCATTTCTAACTTTCCCAAACCATGGTTTGCTAACTCTAAATATTGCAGGCGTAGTTTGCAAAAGCAGTAAAAATAAACTTATCAAGTGATGAACTTAATTATGAATTGTAGATATAGTGCCTAGAGTAGAAATGAGATTTTGAGGTTTTATTTTCCATCGATGAAAACACTGGTAGACAGGACTGCTTAACACAGTCCATTTTACCGGTTTTCATATGTTCAAATTCTTCCATTAAATTATTTCCTTATGTTTTCAGGCACCAGTCAAAAATACAGGTCTTTAGTCAGTGAAAAGAACTCAAATTCAGTGATAAAAATCCTTATAAAAATCAACTTAAGATATATCTTGTAAATGGAGATTCTAAATTTTTTATGTTGCTACCACGATAAGTTTACGAAGTGAGGGTGAGGATTAGTATTTCTTTTTTTTTTCTTGGTGTGTGCCAATTTTGCAAGTGGTGTTATGCATTTTAGTGCAGAAATTGTAAAGTGTTCCTTCAAACTATTTTAGATTTAGTTACTTAGTAAATTAAAATAACAGGTCTTTTAGTCAGTGATAAGAACTCAAATATACAGTTGATAAAAAATCCTTATAAAAAATATTTAAGAAGCTATAGTCTTGTATATGGAGAATCCCTTAAATTTTTTTAATGTTGCTACCAACGGATAAAGTTTACGAAAGTGAGGGTGAGGAATTAGTATTTCTTTTTTTTTTTTCTTGGTGTGTGCCAATTTGCAAGTGGTGTTTATGCATTTTTAGTGCAGATATTTGTAAAAAGTGGTTCCCTTCAACTATTTTAGATTTTTAGTTTACTTAGTAATTACTGGATAAGCCTACTATAATGGTACAGAAACTGAATTGTATGGAAGTTTTAAGCCATCCCTTTCCTTCATTTTATTTTTCACATACATGGGGTGCGTGGTATTTTATCCTTGATACATATGTTTAACAACATAACTTTCAAAGTGATGGGAATAAATAGATGGATTAATAATATAATCATTTTTAATTTACATAATTGATTTGTGAATAATTAGTTTATGTAAAATTTAATTACAACCTAATAGGAAAATTAAAAAATGCAAATTCCTATTTTGAATTCTATGGTTTATATTATGTGTGTGCAATGCATAGATTTATTTAATAAATATTAATTTTTTTAATATTTATATTAAATTTTTTTAATATCTCATTTTTTATTAAAAATTAATTTGGTAGATAAATAATTTTAGAATTTTTGCAATGTTTAATTTAGTTTCCCACGATCGGCGTAAGTAATTTTTTTATTTACATAATTATCGTTACCAATTTAGGTTAGGTTTTTAATATTGAAATTTTGACGAAACTTATGAATTTTTTCAACCAAAATGAAAATATTTTTCTTTTATTTTTATAATTTTCTTAAGTTTATTAAATTTTTTTAAATTATAAATTACAAAATAAAATTTAAATAATTTTAGAATTTGCAATGTTTAAATTAGTTCCACGATCGGGTAGTAATTTTTTTTATTTACATAATTACTTACCAATTAGTTAGGTTTTAATATTGAATTTGACGAACTTATGATTTTTCAAACCAAAATGAAATATTTTCTTTTATTTTATAATTTCTTAAGTTATAAATTTTAAATTATAAATTACAAAATAAAATATATAAAAAGCAATCCTCGCAACGTGTGAGCCTTCGTTTAATTAAGTTTTAATTTATAATAAAAAAAATACTCTGACAATAGTGACTCATGTCTCTAGAGCAAGATGTTTTATTTATAATAAGTCTTTCCCCCTTATAGGCATAGACCTGACTCTGCGCGAGCCAAAAAATTTAATATGGATACAAGTTATCTTAAACGTCATTAATTGATTTTAAAATATAAAGTTTGAATGTAGAATTTTTATACAAAGGGCATCCAATAATTTGATTGAATATAAATATTTTGTTTTGATGATACATAAATGTGTGGGTCTATATATTTTTATGATGAATGACTTTATAATTAATTTTTCTGCTTCCATTTAATTCATACATTTATAAAAATATGCAAACATATATTGATGAATTTTTCCACTTTCTGCATAACGGACCAAACACTGAGTTTGGATTGGTGAACAGTGATTCGCTGACCAAAAAGATCTAGTAATAAATACTTATAAATATCATTTTATAACTATTCAAACATATTCATATTTCATCTGATCTAAATAAAATTACTAATAAAAAATTAATATACATATTTATGTGCCTTAATTTTAACAAGACGTTTTAGTATTTTTTAATCTAAAGATCATGTGTTTAAAAACCTAACGTATTAGAATACTCCAAATTTTACTATTTTTGCAATTTTAGCCCAATCTCAACTTTTGTAGCAATAGCACCCTCAAAAGCAATAAAAAATAGAATTGCAAATAAAATGTATTTCTTTTTTAAAAAAAAAATCAATAATAAAAAAATTTTAAATGTCACTTGAATGTCAAATTATATTCATATTTAGTGAGTGACACGTTCAAAAGTTTGGTATATGATATTTGAGGTAATTATTAAGTAATTAAAAAGTTATTTATTTATTTTTATTAAATGAATAATAATTTTGACTTTATTATCAATTCAAAATATTAGAACAATTAGGCTTTCTTTAACGCTTATATTTAAAATATAAATAATATAAAACAAATTACGTGATTAAAAGATTATATTTTACTAATTTAATTTATATGTTGTGCTTGGAGTTTTTGATAAGTAACAGAAAACTATGTTATTAAATTATTGATTAGCACATTTATTTTAAAAATTAAAATTTAATGTGCAACATTATTTGTTTAGACTACTTGAATCTTTTTAAAACTTTTATATCTTAAATTTTCATCAGAATCAAATCATAATTTAAAAAAATAATGAAAAAACTTTTTTATTTGCAATTCCATCCTTAATTATAATTGAGATATTACTATAAAAATTGAAATTCAAGTAAAATTAACAAAAATATCAACATAGGATAAAATTACAAAAATCCTTCGTAATACTTTTTGAAAGCCCAAGCTTCATCCTTTCGAATCTGCTCTTCTTCTTCAGCACTGAAATCATTGTTGACTTTAAATATTTTTCGGATTTCTTCGGGCAATTTTCCCTTAATCAAATGCACAAATTTGGCACACTGTCTTGCAAATCTTTCACATCAAGAAAATTTGAAGCCATCAAAAGGTCATAAAGAATATCTGTCTATATCCACAAAATTATTCTTTCATATTCCGAGCTTATCCACGTTCACTTCTTTATCAGCTTGTTTCTTTAACCACTGTATGACCATGGCCAGTGTCTTGCTATCCACCTTAGGGAGAGGGATTTTTGCTATCGGCGAAACCATCTTCCAACACGATCTTGATCGTTCCAGACTTGACGGCGATTTCTTCTTCAATTTCGAAGATTTCTGAATCTAAAGACTTCAATTTCACAAGTTTGGGAGACATGGTTTTATGATAAAGAACACCTAAAAATCTATGAGTTTTGGATAGGGTTTAAATAAGGGTTTTTGGACGGCTAATTAATCATAATTGTATAAGGATTATATGTCAATTGCATTCCAATTTCTATTCTAAAAAATAAAAAACAAGAAAGAATTCAATTCCTATCCTAATATAAGTTATTTTTAAAATATTTAAAAAGTAATTAACATGATTTTTTAAAATTTATCCTTATTTATGTTAAATATAATAATGATTTCTATAATTTTTTAAAAGAAATAAATCAAAGTAATAAATATTTTATTATAATTTACATGATGTTTTTAAAATTGATTATCCTTATGTTATGGTTAAATATAAATAATGATTTTTCTATAATTTTTTTCACAAGAAATAAATCAAATAGTAATTAAATATTTTTAATTAATCAATTTAAAAAAAATTCCCTTGATTTTCATTGCAGTTAATTTACAAAATCTTTGTTGATAAATATTTATAATTTATATATATAATATATTCGTTTATAATTATTAAACAAAAGAACACGAGCTTTTAAAAATTTGCAAGTAAGCCTTAACAATAAAACACATAATCGTTATTTTATAATCCAATATTAATATTATATTTTTAATATATAAACAAAAGAACACGAGCTTTAAAATTGCAAGTAAGCTTTAACATAAAACAATATTTATTTATTAATCCAATATATATATATATTTTTTTTAGAATATCAAAAGTCTTCCCGGCTTATTGGATAAATTTTTGCTCCCGTCCCATCAGCCAGAAGCACTCTCAATAAAGATTTTCTCTATCTACAAAAATCAAATCTATTAAAAAATAATTAAAAACTAAATTCATTCAATTTAATTCTATATATTAATCAGGTTAAATTTCATTTTCATATTAGAAAAAGCAATAATAATTAAACTTTAATTTCAAATTAGTTTATATAAATCTTTTATTTTCAATATTCATTCCGATCACACAATGTAAAGTCAAATATATAGAAACCGAATTAACCGAATGCCAATCCCTATCTACTATATAAATTTTTATACTAACATTTAGATTACAGATGTTAGCAATATACACACTTTGCATGAGCTCAATACATGTTTTACAAGCAGCATATGACACCTGCACCTATTCCAATTAAACTGTGTATATATATCTATATATCCCCCTAAAAATCTTCACGAAGCAAAGAACAAGGGAGTTCTTGCTTAGCTTGATTAAAGATTAGCAATGGACAACAAAGAGAAGAAAGAAGATAGAAGTTCCGAGTCTCTGGAGCGCAAGGCAGTGAAGGAAATCAAAGGGGTAGTAGATGATGATGATGAGCCATCGCTTACCAATATCAAGGAGGGAGACAAGAAGGCAGTGAAAGACAAAAGCGAGCAAGTACTACTTGCAGGTTTAGTCTAGTGATAGTGCATATTGCACAGCTCAAATATGGCTTTAAATTATTAGGACTGTAAATGAGTGCGGTTGCTTGTGAACTTTCTACGAGGCTTGATAAAAGTTGTTTGAGCTCTGAACTCGTAGGCTTCAGCCTGACCACTATTTTGAGCTTGTCAAGAGCAATTCTTTTTATCTTGCATGAAGCCACTGATTCAGTAATTAAGCCAGAAAATCTGCTTGCAGTTTGATTAATTTTGAGTACAACCCATCCTTGACTAGTAGCTCATTGTGGCTACCCAACTGCAGAGCAAGTTCATAATTCACCCAATTATTTTAGTTCTTAGTTTGTCACACCAAATACTCCAAAAGATCAAATCTGGAGACTTAATTGTTAGGTTTGCTACAACAAGAAGATGAACATAAAAATGAAAGAAACAGAAATGAAGCACACTTAAAAAGTAGTAGGCATTTGAGTTTCATATTTGCTCCTTCAGAATTTCGTGGCCATGTAGATCAATTAGATTGATTACAGTAAAATGAATTACCTCCACAATTTGACCACCATCCATTATAATGATCCTATCAGCAGCTTTAATTGTAGAAAGCCTGCAAAATTTCGTAAACAGCTAAGAAATCATCTCATACCTGGAGAATCAGAAAGACAAGTGAGAGAGGAAAGACCTATGTGCTATGATAATAACAGTTCTCTTTGCGTTGGCATCATTCTTGATCGCTTGAAGAACACCCTAATAGTGTAGACAGCAGATCAGACACTTTAGTTGTGTACATCGCATTCATGTCACATTGTTAAATTTTCTTGGGTGATATGCAAGTTACCCTGACGTGGTGTTCGGTTTCTGAGTCAAGAGCACTGGTAGCTTCATCAAGAACCAGAATAACAGGATTTCTCAGAATAGCCCTAGCAATAGCAATTCGCTGTTTCTGTCCACCACTTAGTAAATTACTATCAACAAGACTTTCGTAACCATCAGGGAGAGAAGAAATGAAGTCATGAGCATAGGCCACTTTTGCAGCAGATTCTATGTCTTCCATTTTAATGTCTCTATTGCATCCATATGTAATGTTTGACTTGACAGAAGTATGAAAGAGCTGAGGGTCCTGCCTAAAATGAAGATTTCAATATAACAACATAACTTCTTTGAAGAATGTATCTTGATGACAAAACTTAACCTGCTCAACATATCCTATGTTTTCTTTAAGCCAATTCATATCCAGCTCTCTGAGAGGAAAACCATCAATATAGATCTGAAAACCGGGCACGTATTCGTGTAAGAATAAACTAACAAGAAAACTATGGTGGCAATGCTCAAGGACTGTGAATCCAAACGCAAGGTTGATAAAGAATTAAGACTAAGTTTTTTCTCCATAATAACGTAAGATCACACATGCATTACGCGTACAGAACAGCAGATTATTGCAAATACTGAACATAATGGTCCATTTAAGCATCATACTTGTTTACCTGACCGTTAACTGGCTCATAGAGCCGAAGCAAGAGATTGACTAGTGTGGTTTTCCCGCTACCACTGAGTCCAACCTTGCCAAAAAAACAAATGAGCGGTCAATTCATTTTCTTTATTGTATCATCATAGTAGTAATTTATGTATAATAGACATAATTACCACTGCTACCACTTCATTTGCTTCTATAGAAAAGTTTAGGTGTTCTAGAACCGGTACCTGTTCAAATACAAGAGAAAATTTGAGAAAAATGATTGCTTCCCCAGCCAGCCTTAAGAATACGTAAGACCAAGCAAGTAATAAACTTATGCCGTCTTAATAATGAATAAGCAACTGTAAAGACCATGACAATCCACAAATATTATTAAATTTAAAATCAAATGATGCTATAAACTACAAAGGCAGCCATCTTTCTAATGTCTCCTTAAAAATTTTTGCAAATTCATAACAATTTAAGCGAAGAAAAAAAAGAAAAACTGTAAGGAATTTCAATAATTATGTCATGTTATTTGTATAACAATATCTGTTCGTGCCAGCAGACTGTTTCTATGAGAGTCTATAGATGTTTTTAAAATATGACTGTGTTATAAAACACAGGATTACTAATATTTCCATTTCTTTGATTGCTGTCGCACTCCTTTTAAGCTGAGATTTTAAGCTGAGATACCAGGAGCTTTCAAGGAAACAATGTAATTAGTTTCTTCTTAAATGAAACAAAACAATGTCAAGTGTACATAATAGATAAATTGCAAATCACTTGTAGAAAGCAAATATATCTACAATGAAAAAGGAATTATACCACATTGGTTGCTAATTCACCTAGGTTGATTACAGTTTAATTATATGAATCACTTTATGGGAAAATACAAGCACCTAACTTAACAAGAGATAATACTTACAGTTGGTCTTAAAGGATAGTGAAAAGATACATCAACAAATTGGACTTGTCCCATTAGCCTTTGCAATTTCACACCTATAAAGCGGAATGAAGCATGCATGTTAGTTAGACTTAGCAACAGAAGATTTTTTGGAAGAATCTTTAAGGCATGGAATCAAGAATTTCAGATTAAAAAGCTAGATAGCAACTGTTGAAAAGAAATCTCAAAACTAAGAGTAAATAAAAACAAATACAAAGTAGTTCTGCACCAAATGGTCAAAAGGGTTTTTGTTTGTTCCAAATTACTTCAGGATCCATCTTCTCCATTCAATATCTTTTCAATAATATACATAAAAAAAAATATAAACATCTGGTTTTTAATCAATTTCAAATACCTGCAATGATAAAGATAATTAGTGCAAGTAGGACTCTTAAGTCTTTAGTTTAACAAATTTTACATGCCATGAATCTAAACTTTAAAAGGCATTATGAAGTTTCATATAACTGAGATAAAAAAAAAAAAAAAAAAGTTTAACCAAATTTATACATGCCATGCAATCTACAACTTTAAAAGGCATTCATGAAGTTGCATATAACTTGAGCATAAAAAAAAAAAAAAAGGTTACTTTTAGCTGAATCAGTACTTTCGTGCAGCCGAAACCTTTCTTGAACGCATTGCCTAGATGATGATATACTTGCTAACCTTTGGACAAGAATTGTCACTGGGTCGAGAGTTGCATTAAACTGAAAAACACATTTTCACTTGCTACCAATCTGCCTGCAAACAAATGAGAGTGACTACATTGGTCCACCATCCTCCAGGTATGCATAAATTACCACTCACAGTATAATAATTATTACTTTGTGAGTTGATTCAGTTGAAACATGTCCAGTCATGAATCAGCACATTCCAAAAAAAAAAAAAAAAAAAGGTTATTTTAGCTGAATAGTACTTTGTGACAAACTTTCTTGAACCATTGCTAGATATGAATATACTGCTAACCTTTGGACAAGAATTGGTCACTGGGTGAGAGTTGCATTAACTGAAAAACATTTTCACTTGCTCCAATTGCCTGCAACAATGATGATACATTGTCCACCATCCTCCAGGTTGCATAAATTAACCACTCACAGTATAATATATACTTTGTGAGTTGTTCAGTTGACACATGTCCAGTCATAATAGACATTCCTCCTAACATCACTGCAAAAACCTATAAAATGTAATTTGACAAGGAATTAGCTTTGTTATTGACTTCATACAGATTGCAGCTTTCAAATGCTGTCAATAGCCATTGAGAAGAATTTGATCTGTCACTGGAAATTTGGAAATTCAAGACAACAGTGCTAGCATAGGGAGGATCAGAGCAAGAGGGAACACCTAGAGCTAATTGATCAGTAATCAATCAAGAGGTAATTCAGTTATGCAATCACAAAACATGTGCACTTGTAAATTGTGGTCAATATTCTGGATGGGTTTAAACAAAGCCCAAATTGTCAATTACACAGCGTGTCCATCTACAGAAATTTGGACGTGCTTGATCTTCCACATGTATGACAAGCGAGCATAATAATTAAAGCACAATATACATGACCTAACACAGAGTAATATTCAAATTTACTAATTTTAAGACAAGGATCAGCTGATCAGCCCACAGAAATGTTGATTGCATGAAGTAGAGGTGCAATAGTAGTTACGGAGATCAATACATTTGAAATCATCAAGGGAACAAATATAGATTGATTCGTCCTTTTGAACATTTAGCTTGCTACTTGTGTTCTACCAATCAAGTCCCAAGGTGACTCGTGAAAATAATTTTGCAGCACAAAGAAGAAGATGAGTAGTCCTCACTGAGGTGATGCAAATCAGAGAACAAATGTTTAAGCTACATTTTCAGGCAGCTTGGAAAAAAGAGGATTCAATATGACAATCATCATGTAGAACTCTCCCCTCCTATCACATTGAAGAAGAGAGAATTATTTTGTTGAAAACTAATCAAATGGAAACCCAACAGAGTAAAAAAAGAATAACCTTCATCCTGTATGACAATCATCAGAATATAACCTAGCCATCTACTGCCTCTTTTTTATTTTTCCTTTTCGATATTTTTACTCGTGAGAAAAAGGCTGAACGCTGAATAAGAAATTGCCTTTTTATGATTAATTTCATGGAACCTTTTAGAGCCATCAAGCATTTTTGAACTGATATATTACTGTTTTCATCAACTTGAAAATATGCAAACCTGCATTGACCGGTAAAGGGTGTGAAAGCTCATATTCCATAATCCATAAGCCAAGCTCTCTTGACAACTTACAAAAGTTAATTTCTCCAACCAATTGTTGTACCTAACACAGTGAAAAGATCACTTGAGTTTTGTTATTCAGAATAATTACAAAACCAATAAGTCTGCTCAGAATTTAAATCATTGTGCATCTTTTAGTGTGCATGACAGTGTTAAAAGACAACTACACTATTATGGATTTAATAGTATATTACTAGCATAAATTATTGCCTTCCAAGTTCTTTTCCCTCTGTTCCATAAACCCGAACAGTTCTTATCAAGGAAAATGTCTCTTCTGCAGCCTATATCAAACAGAAGCAGATGATTAAACTAAGCTATCATTCCAATGACAAAATTTCCTAAGCAATTCAAATAAGCATATAGTTTCTACCTCATTGGCATAAGCAGTGAAATCTTGAGTAAACCTGGCAGCCATCTTCTGATACCTATTAAATACACAGGCTTCAATGAAATTCTTCATACTAATAAAGAAGCGACTGATAGTCATTGTTATCAGCACAAAAACTGTTAAGCCTTAATCCCAAACTAGATGGGGTCACCTACAATGATCTGTCCTTCCATACCATTCAGTTTTATGTTAGTTCTTCATCAATAACATTATGTCACGCTTTTGAATCACATAAAGAATCATCATACTATTTCTTTAATGGAGCATAGAGACCTTGAACTAGAAGCAATCCATCTAGCTATCCTACTATTGTGGGATAAGGCACATAAACTTACCTGCCGTAAACTAGAAATATTGCAGCCAGAATGAAGGATATGACAAGTGATGGCAATGCAAGAGGCCAAGACAAACACAGCAAATTAATCAAGGCACCTGTCCCCTAAGCATTTGAAAAACAAAACTGTAATTTAGCCAACAAAATCAAACACATTATCAAAGGAAGGAATTGATAAGAAGCACAACCTGAAGGGCATTGCGCATTATCAAATGGATATTATGTCCAATAACATGAGAAAGTCGTTGACAATCTGACCCTAATCTGCTTGTCAAGCCACCAACTTCTTTGTCAAAAAAGGCTATGTCCTATATCAAAGGAAACTACCATCAATAATTAAAATCATCCGATGTTAACGGCAGCTCAAGAATAACAATAACACAAACCTGAAAAATAAGAGCTGAATACAAAGTTTCCCTGAGACGCTTAACCTGCAGATTGCACCACTAAGGAACGCCTGTAGATGTAAAAATTAGCTTAAACAGAAATTTCATTAATTATTAATTTTTCAAAAATCCACCAATTAAATTATTGGTGTGCTTTTATAGTAAAATTATTTTATGAAATAAAAATTCTTTCCAACAATTATGCTCCTCTTCCTTTTCCTTCCATATTGAAGGCCAGAGAACCTTCTTATGCTTTTCTCTCTGGTCTTGAAATTTCCATTTCTGAACACACAATATAGTGCAGCGCTCAAAGAATTCGAATAATTCTTTGAAAGAATAAAAGAAAAGGCAATATGAATGCAAAAGTTTGCCAATTTAATCTCAGCAACAGCCATAAAATAGAAGTTAGCGTTTCTGAGTTATGGTCATGTACTTTTACAATGAAAGTTTAGACCCAATTCTTCGTTAGGGCACCGATCATTTGTTACTTAAAATGAAACTGAAGAAAAATTTCCTTCTGATCCAATAACAGGGAAAAGTTTCCTTTGGCGTGAAACTGCAGTTCGTTTTACCTCTTCCCCAAAACGAGAGTAAGCGGTCGTTTAAAAGGTACTAACCAGAATCATATTTGCTACTGCAAAACAGCCACTTCGCAGGCCACTGAAAATTCAAAACAAAGCATAATGAAAATTGCAGACTCTTTAAACATCCATACCTCAAAGCCAAAAATGCATATAAGAGCCTAACCTAACCTAACCTGCTTATTCCTGAAGTGAAGCACAGTACAGCCAACAGATATGCATTTTTAAAGAAAGCCATGGATTCACCACTCTGGGCAGAAAAGATAGAAGCTGCTAGTATATTTGGCATTGTTATCTCTGAAAGTGCAGCTGTAATTAAGGAAGCAAATGCCACAAAGATAATCCATTTCTCATTTCCAAGCAATTCCCACATTCGAAGAAGAAATTTCTTCACTGTAACTGCATTCCCTGATCTATTTTCTCTTTCCTTATAATCATACAAATTCCACCAATCCCTGCCTCGCCCAATCAAATCTTGAAACTTTCCTGAAAATTTCACATTCCTTTTATTTCTACTTTCCTCCTCTCCTTCACATATTGTGTTAGCTAATACTGAATTTGGGAACTCAAAGCCGCGGTATCTGATTTTGCGAGAAGAAGTTACAGGGAATTGGAATTTGAATTGGGAATTGAAACGCATGGTTTCTATATTCGAAAAGAAGAGAGATCTTTTCTCGTATTTACTAGGATTGTTAAGAGAGTAAAGATTTAAAGGAGAGAGTGCCATTGAAACTTCAGTAAGCAAAACTGACAGAGCTGCCATAGATAAAGGCCATTTTTGCAGTAGCCTTGAGAGGTCATACGACGTCGTTTACACATTGTTATGAACGACTAGTTATAAGCCACGTCTTAAAGTCAAACAAATTTGTACGTCGATCCAACGGTCCCACACACACTCATAGTAGGCTCACGTTTGACCCAAGGTCACTGCTTTTCTCATCCTTCGCTTGTTTCTTCTTTTCAGGACTGCAACTTCGGACCCAAAATAGATCCTTAGGACCTTAGCTTCGCGTAGGTGATCGAATTGGAAGTTACAGAAAAATAAGTGAATCGATAATTCCATTCTCTGTTCATTCATGGCCGAGAAGGAGGAGGAGACAGATATCCCCAAGATCAAGCCAAGGCCCATCGTGCGTCTTGGGATCTTCCTAATCTCTCATTGTGTTTTTGTTAGGTAGTTTCTTATTCCAAACCCTAACTTTTGAACCTTTCACCTTATTATCTACTGGCGGTTGATTTCTAATGGTGGGGGATTTTGATTTTTCAGTGTTATTTGTTGTACCGCTGGGATTTTAGCTCTCTTGCTACTACCAGCGCTCGCCAAGAACACTTACATTTCTGAAAATGCCCTCATGCCTGGTTTGGCCACTTCACTCAATAATTTATTTTTGAGTAATTTTAACTTTGCAAGAATGCAAGTTGGGTAATTTGTGAGAATTACAGGTTCCGCGAGTTCTATGCTTTCTAATCATGACATTTCGGAGGCAAATAAATTGGTTAAGGACTTGAGTAGCTTGAATTTGGGGCCTGAGGACACAGGCATGTATGTGTATATATTTTATACTTTTCTTTAGTATTTTTCTCATCTTTGTGAACTTTCAAATGCTTTAATTTTTTTTACTCATGATATTTTGAATCTTCAATTGGATAATATAAGCACTTGCTTTTGAAATCATAGAATATAACACATATCTGAGGTATTTTATATTTTATTTATTACAGTTTGAATATGCATTATGAAACACTTCATCGTTCTAATAATTTGAATATTGAAAGTGTATGCAAGGTTTATCTATATGCTGATGGTTGCTAGAAGATATACTAGCGCTGTAACGAATAACAATGACTTCTGCAGACAGCTAACTATTGTTTGGATAATTTGTTAGCCAGTCTGAAGCAGGAATGAGATTAATTTATTTTGATCTATACATCTGATAAAGGAGTTTTATTCACTTGTCCAATTCCAGGTAGTTACTTGTATTGATCACTAGGTGGGTCAGATTATATTAGGTAATCCTGAAATTTTGTCGGATGAGCTAATCGTAATTTCCTTTTTCATTACTACCTTCTGCGCAAAATTTGATTGCTTGCACAGCGTGGCTTTTATTTTTCCAGCATGAAGGGGCGTGTTACACTTGGTGCATCTTTGCTTTATTCTTTTCATGGCATCTCCTATATTTTGTTTGTTTCTGTTTTAGATTCATGATATTAATACTCTTCTTTGTTTGACTTCAATGTACAAAAGAATAAAGTAAAGGGATTCTAATGCAATTTATGTTTATCTAATTTTGTTTCTGTTTTGTCACAGAGAAAGACGGAGGCTCCTAGCAAAGTACATGTCAGACTTGGGTGCTGAAGTTAGTTATCACAAGTTCCACCCGCAGTTGAATCATTTTAATCCACTGCAGTTCTTTTCTAGCCCTGAGTCTAGGATAATAGGAGAGAACATTAGTTGCTCGTCTTATGGTGTCAACACTGTTGGAATAATAAGAGCACCTCGTGGTGATGGTAAAGAAGCTATTGTCTTGGTGACACCTTACCATTTTGGAAAGAGTGATTTGAATCAAACTTTATCTTTGAGTATCGCGTACTCTGTCTTTTCTTTGCTCAACCGAGTTACATGGCTGGCCAAGGATATTATTTGGCTCATTGCTGATTCGAAGTATGGCGAATATGTCTCAGTTGCCAATTGGCTAAGAGATTATCACACACCATTATTTACTGGTTTGGCTTCCCTAAGTGCTGATGCATGTGCCAAAGCCGATAATATTTATGTATCAAAAGAAGATTCTGTTGTGAAAAGAAAGGTATTTGATGGTTTTAGACGTGCTGGGACCATGGCTGCTGCCCTGGTTTTAAAGGTTACTGATAGAAATGCACAATGGGATGACACTCTTAGCATCTTTGCCGAGGCATCCAATGGGCAGATGCCAAACCTAGATCTCATAAATATCGTGAATTATTTAGCTGTACATAGGCAAGGTTTGCACGTAAAGGTTCAGAAGTTTTGGTCTTTATTAGAGTTAAAATGGCTCGAGATCATAGGAAATATATTTGAATCACTAGGGAAAGTGAGCAGAAATTTAAATCCCAACTGGAAATTTGGTGTTCCAGCTGCAGATTATGTTGAAGGTGCTGCTACACTTGTGAGCTCATTGTATAACCAGGTATTTTATATTTTTATAGTTTATTATGTAGTATGTTCTTGCTTTTTGTTTTTCATTGGGGTAGCTTGGGATGACATGAAGGGGGATTATCTGTTGCCTGCAATAACCTCAGTTGCATTGGCACATTATGTAACTTTTTTGTCCTGCTCTCAGGCACTGGGTATTCCCACGGGTCCACATGGTGCTTTCCGTGATTTCCAAGTTGATGCGATTACTTTGGAGATTTCAACCAAAGTTTCTTCTAATAAAAAAGCCAGGCAAAATGAGTTTCTCTTGCGAGGTGGCAGGTCAGCTTATTTTCACTTTTTTTTCTTATTTTCTTTGTAACTTGCCTTTCAGATCAAACATATTACATAGAAATCATGATGAGTAGGTGTAGTTTCCAACGATGCCGATGTACATAGTGGTGATATGTTTTATCTATGAGAATCTTTTACAACTTGACCTTTGTTACTGTTGAATACAAGCAGTTTTTGTCTCAAATCTGAATAAGTAGAAAGGATATCTTTGTTTTCTTTGACTAAGTTCATTTTCACAACTTTTATGTCTTTTTGAATCGCTGCAATTCATTGAAAGACCTGAACTATCGTGTAAAAGAAGAGACGAAACCTTGGGAAGTTAGTTTTTTCTCGATATAATGCAAATAAAAAAGACAGATTACTTTGTCCTTATTTTTGAATTTTTGAGAATAGAAAAATATTGAGATGATTAGTGCACGAAAGCAAGGTGGTAAATGGATCAGTTTGAACTGGATATGGGTGATTGGCTAACCAAGCTAGTAATTCTCAGTATATAATATTTGTTGTTGCAAAATGATATTGCATTTATAGGTTTTAATATCTTCCCAGTTAGGGAACAGTCAGGTTTTAGCACACCAACATATAAAACCAAGATCATCCGATTTATAGACCAAACTCAACCCAGTATGTCAGATTGAGCTTTTCTTCACCAGTTTGGTAACAGCTTGTACTGCCATGCACTGAAGGTTGGTTTTGAAGTATTATAGTGTAAATGCCTAATGATAAACATTCAGAGCTTTAAACATTGATATTTCCTGACTACACTCTGCTTCTACAGTTATTCTTATTTTGCGTTACTCGATTCTTTTCTTTCTTTTTTTCTCTCTATGTATGAATTAAGACTTGTTATTTGGTGATATAATGGTGTTTCAATTGTCAAATTCAGGATATTTTTGTTCTCCAGCTGAATATTTTTCCTGTTTTTTTGATGCAGGTTGATTGAAGGAGTTATTAGATCAGTAAATAATCTTCTTGAGAAGTTTCACCAATCATTTTTTCTATACCTGTTAACATCTCCTAATAAGTTTGTGTCAGTAGGAGTCTACATGATCCCTTTTGCACTCCTTGTAGCTCCGCTTCCCCTGGTTTCTGCTTCCCTTTATGCTGAGGTTAATGAATTGGATCTTGGCATGAAAAATGGCAAATCTTCCCCTTCTAAATCAACTGCATCGAAGGAGATGGGCATAACTTTCAAGTCATGGAAGTGGCTCAATGCAGCAAAAGCAGTGTTTGTCATTCATATATGGGGTGCAGTAGTTTTGTTGCTTCCATATTTCATTTGTCAAATACCTGATTTGAGCACAGCATCTAGTTTTATCACCTGGGTTTTGCTTTCAATGCTTAGTCTCCTAATCTTGTACCTGATCTTGGGTTCACCGTTTTCTCATGCTAATGCATATCAATGTCATAAAGGCGAATGGGCTATTCTAAAATCAGTCACCATCTCAGCTGTTTTCATTGGCTTGCTGCTCATGTCAGTTGTTAATTTTGCTACAGCAGAAATTGGGGCATTACTGATAGTGCCAATGTGTTTGATGGCTCAACCTTTGAAGCATGATATTGGAGCTGCCACATCAAGGAGTTTCTTCAGGGTTATTTGTAATCTGGTTTTGAGTTTTGTTGCATTTCCACCAGCTGCATTTTTTATGTCGAAAGCTATACTCGAAGGGTGTGACAGCATTAATGTTGGTGATTTCTGGAATTGGGTGGAGTCCCTCTGGGCATGGAACAGTGCTAGTTACATCTTTATAGGTATGGTTCACCTACCATGTTGGATGTTATGCATGCACATTTTGCTTTATTCTTTTTGACACATTCCTCAGTTTTGTACTTTGTTGCATTACTTGTGAACTAAACATGAAAATCAGGAGATTAAAGGAAATTTTCTATGTTCTTGTCATCTCTAAATTGATTTCCATGGATGGTTTGTTTTCCTTTTTATTTTTTACCATTATTATTATTATTATTTAAATTTCTTTTTCTTTGGAAAATAACTAAGCCTTTAATGTCAAATTAGTTGGTGTCGGGTATATGAATCCTTGTATTCATCCTGCTCTGTTCATAGCTACATCCGCAGTGAATAACCGGTATGCTTAGATTAAAAGTAATCAAGCATCAGCATTGAATTTATTCAATTAGCTCAATCGTCCCATCTATTGCAGAACTCTGGTAAAATTTAGAGATTATGTAGGACACATTTCAGAAGTGTCTCTGTTTCTCTGAAGTTTAAACTTTCACACACCAAGGGTCTAGCATCTATTTAAGTTGAAAAAGATTTTTTTAAAAATAACGTTCAATATATTACAATGGCATCTAGAATTTTGTTTTTCTGGAATATCAATTTCGATTTTAATGCCAATTAGACTCTTTAAATTAGATGTGAGCAAACTTCCTGAAAACCAAACCAACAGATTTGGTTTAGTCGATTTGGTTCAATTTTTTAATTATCGATTCAGTTGTGGTTTTTCAATAAAAAGTACAAACATGGCTTAGTTCGATTTTCTTGCACCCAAAATGTAAGTCCAAAATTGGTTTAATTTCGATTTTAATAATTAAAACTGAATTGAACTGATTTGGTTCACTTTTTTAATATGTTATTTGATTTTTCATTTAAAAAAAATTCCTGTCTATTTAGTTAGGAGTGGTTTAATTCAATTTGATGCAAATGCTCACCCCCTTCTTTTAAAAAATTCCATATCTTATGCAATGTGGACCACATGGATATGATTTCTTAATATAATATGGGTAAACTAGACCATGTTTTCTTTGGGTAAAAGCTAGAGCAAATGTTTGTTGTGGCAAGTCACTGTCTGAATAAATAATGCAATAGGAAGTAATAAATAAATAAAAAAAAAACAAAATTAAAGATAAATTTTTGTATGTTTATAGGGTTTTGGTAAGGTAAGATGCAATGAAATACAACGCAATATATACTTTTATATTAAAGATAAATTTCATCACGTTACATTCCATTCTCACTTTGAACTTGAAGGTCAAGGATTCCAGCAACGAAAATGCTTCATGCACTAAGTTATGATTCATTAAACAAAACTGGAGTATATATCCGTTTTTTCTGTAACTAACATTTAAACTGTATTATTACTTCACAACACATTTCTTGTTCAAGTTAATAAACAAAAAAATTTTTTTTTTTCTTGCTTAGATTAGTAGTTACTGTTTAAATGAGCATTTGCTTGCTTGGCTTGGCTATGCTATTAAAAAGCTAATTGAAGTAAAAGAAACAGGTTGACGAAGACAAGTTGCCTTCAAGGCGTAAATTATGCTCCCATCATTACTGTTAGTGCTGTTTTCTTCTGTCCTAAATGATAATATTTAATTGAAGGAACATGTTCTTTACCTACTCAGAAGGGCAAGGAAGGAACCAGTAACAGTAGCTTATCATAAAAGTGGTGTTGCTTGTGGCTATGTAGAAGCTTCATTGCTTTTCTATCGATTCCTATAAGATGCTGCCCATAAGGGAAATATGTGGCTGTGGTTCATCTTTTAAGGAAGACCTCAATTTGCAGGGAAAAGGTGTAGTAATGAGGAAAAGGAGCCATGATTTTTTTTTTTTTCTTTTCTTTTCTTTTTCTTTTTTCATGTTAAAAAGACACTATACTGCATTACTAAGCTAAAATTATAAAAATAAAAAATAAATGCATACATTGTCATGGTTTTACCCAAAATTCGAACCCTTTCTATAGCAAAATTGATGCCTTAGCTACTAATTTTTCAATTTCACATCAATTAGGAATAAGTAACCCTAAAGTAAAATTCTTCATATGATAATTTCGAAATTTGGCAAGTGAAAGAGACGAAGGTGAATTGACCCCTTTATAATTTGATGGATGCCTAAACCCTAACCCTAATACAGGTTCTCATCCACACTAAGGTGCCCTAAAAAATTTAATTCAACAATCAATTCACTTAATTTTATAATTGATGATTATATTTGATTAAGCTATTGGATATTTATTCATTAATCATCTGTCTCCTAATTCAGATTTTGAGATTACTTATTTTTTAAAGAACTGTATATTGACAACAAAAAAAATAAATAATTTTGTAATAAATGCAAATCAAAACTGGCATAAATATTAATCAAATGTGATTTTTTTTTTTTTTTTGCCAAATACATTAATTAACACTTCATAAAAAAAAAATTAGTGGCGTCCTAACTTTTATATTTACTTGCTAATCTTTCAACTTATTGAACATTTATAAAATTGTATTTATTAAAAAATATAAAAATTATTATTTAATAATTAATTAAAATATGCTTAAAATATCATACTTAGTTAACATATCTGGTGATTGAAAATATAGAAAATTATATATTTTTAATAAATAATTATATTTAATAGTTGCACTTTATAAGTTTGAAATCTGTAATAAATATAAGTTACAAAATTTAATGGATTGATATGGACATTTGTTGGCACCACTGATTTTTTTTTATTCCACGTGTCAATTTAGGCATTAAACCAGTATTTTTCGATTAAAGCAACATTATATAATATTTTTTTATCAATCAATTTATTTACGAATATTGTCAATTAATTTTATTATATTTATTTCCATATCAGCACCATCATCCGTGGCTGCTCTGTCTACAATTATAACTTCTTTAAATAATAATTTAATATCTCATGATTAAGGCTTTGATGGGTTGATACCCATGAAAATCCAAGGCCAACTACTCTTTCCCTTTCTTTGGGAATCTTTCATCTTTTCTTTTGTGGTATATCTTAGAAAAGAAAAATCAAATTTTCTTCCTAATAAGTCCGTATGCTACATCATTATTTACCCAAAAGGAAAAATAAATTAATTAATGTTCTTTTTCTAAAATTTATTATTATATTATGTTTTTTTTTATTAATAAAAGAGAAACCGAATGAGTTCTCAACTTTCACAAAAACTATTACATTATATTTTTTATTCTCACTCTTATCACGGAAATAAATTAATATATTTATGGATTGAAGTATAAGTTTTGATTTGAAAATCTTTAATTTTCAAAATTCCTATGGATTTGCTTTTTAAAAAAATTATAATGGATTTAATTCATAATTTTCTTTGCAAAATGAAATTTAAATCCAACTTATGAATAAATATGCTCTAACCTTCAATTTCACTCCGAATTTTTCGAGTAATTGCAATTTTACTCTAAATCGCTCTTTATATCATGGATACCTTCAACTTATCAACCTAATTGCAATGACACCCTAATTTGAATTAATACCCAACTCATTATATTTGCATCTTAAAATTGGTTTAATTTTAAAATCAAATATTCAATCTTGATTTTTTTTTTATTTATTATATATATGTGGGTTTGATTTTATTATTGATTGTTTAAATACTTGGGTATGGGGTCCTTTTTTACATTATTTTAATTAAAAATTTGATCTTAGTTTATTTTTCAGAGTGCAATTGCAAACAAATTGATATGTTCGGGTGTTGTAATTCACTTTTAAGGCGCAATTACACCTTAAATGTAAATTAGGGTGTAATTACAACTGAATTGATAAGTATACTCAGAATACAAAAGTCGATTTATAGTGAAATTGCAACTCTTTAAAAAGTTCGGTGAAGGCCATAAATATACACAGAAATCTTCCATGCAATTTCATTGAGGCCTTTTTTAGATGGAAGTACTTAAAATATTGACAAACTATATGTGGAGTTGAATATATTTTTTTTGATAAAAATATATTTTTTTTTCAGTAAGTCTGTTTAAACTTATTTACTAAACTATTTTTTTGATAAAAACAAATACTAATTGTCTTTTTTTGAGGTAAAGATAAAACGATTACTTCCTTAATAAATGAAGGATACGCAATTACCTTAAATCAAATGGAAAGTTGAAAAGAATGGGAGCCATTAATTTATTTTAATTAATACATTTAAAGTAACACTTTTCTTAGTAAAAGCATAGCAAAATAATTTTTTTTTTATAATTTAAATAAAGCGCTCACAGCACAATTGTTATAAGGTGAAATAAATTCGTGATAACATTTCACATTTTTTTTATTATTACCAAACTGAAATTCAATCCTATTAATGAGGTTGATTTGAATGAAAAGAACTCAAGTCCCTTAAATGAAAAGTTGAGTGTTCCACTGTTGTGGATGGAGAAAATGATCAGAGAGTGCTTCCACTTATAAGCCTGAACTTAAAAAGAATTAAACTTAATTCCTTTGACAATTCTTGTAAGTCACTAAATTTAATATTTAAAATTATTGGCCATATTTCTCCTATATAACCACAAATTCAAATATTGATAGATTATTATGGTTCTCATGGTGGTTGTAACTTTAGCTTAAATCACCAATTTTAAATTGGATTATATCACATTTGTTCAAATAAGGATAATGTTTCTTAATCAAAATTAACGGATTAACTTAATTAGGTAAATAAACCTTATTGTACATTCTTTCAATCACCAATGATGGGATTTAAGACCTCACTATTCAAAAAATTAAGAGGCCTTAATTGCCTATATGAAGTTATGAAGCCCCTTTGATTTGTCTCCATTTTGGTTCAAAATACTGCTTACACAATATTTGGATATACATCCTTCCCTTCACCTATATTGAGAAATAAAAAACAGTGCTCTTTTTTCTTTCACTCCAAACAAAACCAATTCCTCCGATTTTAACTCTATCACCTAACCAGAATTCAACTCTCTTTCTCTCTCCCACAGGGTTCCAGAGTCTAGAAGACAATTGTCAAGAAAAGAAGCAAACAAAAAATCAAAAATACCCACAAAGCCAGAAAGCTTCAATCTTTGGTAGGTAGCAAGAAGAAGAAGGAATTTTCAGGAAATTACCTTAAAAACATGGATAATATGCTATGTGATGAGCTGGTTCAAGAAATCTTTACAAGATTATCAGAATCACCATCTTCTTCTTCTTCTTCTTCTTCATTATCGGTTTCTTTGGTGTCTAAGCGGTGGCTTCGCCTCTACCGGACTTCAAAAACCTCTTTATCTCTTAGAATTGACCATGATAATTCTACAATTCAATCTTTGCCTTCTCTTCTTTCCCACTATCCTTTTCTTTCCTCTCTTTCTCTCATCCTCTCCTCTGACTCTGGCCCCACCTTAACAACCAACGCCACAGCTTTCAATGACCATCTTCTATTTATAGTGTCTACCTTTTGCTTAAAGATTAAGCACCTCAGGTTCTTGGCTGGCCCTGTTTCTTTCTCCTCTCTCCTTTCTCTCTCTAATACATGTTCCCTTCTTACCTCTCTTACTATTGTTCTGTGTAGGCCTCTTTTTTTCAATTGGGTTGCCAAATTTTCTTGTTTAAAGGAATTATCTATTTATTTATGTCAAAGTGATGATTCTTATTGCAATAGAGAATCTGAGTTGTGTTTAAACGAAGAAACTGATGCAGAATTGGGTTTAGAGAGTCTTTACTTATCAGGAATTAGAAGAGATGATCTTGGTTTTGGTTGGTTATGGAGAAGTTGCAAAAAGCTAAAGAAATTGCAGCTAAAGAGTTGTGAAGGTATTGGTGATGGAGGGTCTTTTTTGTCATTTATTAGTGTATTAAAGGGTCTTCAACAATTGGAGCTAAGGACTTGCAGGAGTATAATGAATGGGATTTTATTAAAATTATCTGAGAATTGTGAGTCTTTGGATTCTCTGTTGGTTTATGATGGTGGTAGCAGAGAAGGTTTACTTCATTTTATTAGTAATTGCAGGAGTAATTTACAAAAGCTCGATTTTCGATTACCTTTAGACCTAAACAATGATCATCTCTTAGCTATGGCAATGAATTTTAGAACTCTTTCAATTCTCAGGCTTCAGAGTTGTTGTTTAGTTACTGGTGAGGGGCTAAAAGCTCTTGGGATTGCCATAAATTTAGGCCTGAAAGAATTAGCACTGATAAATTGTGATGTTGTTGAAAGGGAATCAGGATTGCTTGCTACGTTAGGTCAAAATTTGAGGCAATTAAGGAAATTAGACTTATCTTTTAATGAATCTTTGCTGGATAAGGAGTTGATTTCCATGTTAGTTTCTTGCAATTGTTTGATTGAATTGAGGTTAAGAGGTTGCAAGGGACTTACTAGTGCTGCAATTGTTTCTATGATCAAGAGTTGCAAGAAATTGGAAATTGTTGATATCATGCATTGTTCTGGAATTGAAGCTGAGGCTATTGAGTTACTTGTTCTTAATTCGCCGCGACTGATACAAGTTCAAGTTGAGGAAAGTAAGCTTTCTGATGCTGCTAAAACATGGGCATCACGTAAATTCATCGAGGTTGTTGCTTAATTCAAGAATTTAAAGATATCACAAAAAAAGAAAAAGAAAAAGAAAAAGTTCCAAAGAAGAAAAAAAGAAGGTATATGTCGCACACAAAACTACTACTTTTTTTGTTGTATATGTATGTTTCTGCTGTAGAATATGTAGAAAGAGCTGCTTTTGCTCACAGAATAATACTGTCTGTACAGATTTTTCATTGTCTTAAAGATTGAATTCTTCTTGTCTTTGGCAAATAAGATGGCAATTATAGTTTCAGTTATATTCCTTTTGCTGTTAGCCTGTTACTGTTTATATTGACAGTGCAACTACTGCAGAGCAGTGAACTGATTATAACTTTCAGTTTCCATTATACTTTCGGAGCCTGTTTTGAAAAAACGAATTTCACGATATTTTATAGAATTTATTTGAAAATTCAAAATGTTAGGTATGGAATGAAAAAAAATACAGATTTGAATTCTATAAATTAAATTCTATGAAATTGGGTATGAGTAATTCAAATTCTACAAAAATTGAAGGAATTTGTAAATGAGTTTCACAAAATTGACCTTTAAAATATTTATTGACAAAATTACTCTCCACTATAAAACTCAACTATTTTTATTTTTTTTCCTTTTTATTTATTTTCTTTGGAAAATTCCAAATTATAACAATGTCTTTTTTTTAATCCAATAATGACGTTAGTTTATATATATATATATATATATTTTTTTTCTAAACAAAAATTGAAGGAATTGGTAAAATGAGTTTCACAAAAATTGACCTTTAAATATTTATGACAAATTACTCTCCACTATAAACTCAAACTATTTTATTTTTTTTTCCTTTTTATTTATTTCTTTGGAAAATTCCAATTATATACAATGTCTTTTTTTAACGCAATAATGACGTTAGTTTTATATAGTATCAATATATATATATTTTTTTTTTTTTTCTTTTTAATTTTTTAGAAAAATTTCCAAACCAGTAAGACATTTTTTTTTTTTTTTTTGAAGTCTTGTAATAATTGTTAAGTTATTATTATTATTATGAAACTAAAACAATGAGCATCAACAATTGTTTTCAAATGCAAATTAAAACAATAGTTAACATTCTAAAATTTTAGTTCCAAATTAATTAGCTTAAATCAACAAAATTTTTATATCAAATTAAATAATTGAAATAAATTATTATGATAAATGGTTACTGCTTATATAATTAATTAAAAATTAGCGTGAAAATATTAGTATCTTATTTATATTGAAATTTATTATTTATATTTTAATAAAAAAAATGACAAGTTATTATATTGTACATAATAAATATAATCTGTGTAAAAATGACAAGTTATTATATTGTACATAATAAATATAATCTGTGTTTGTTATTCATTTTTATTAAATTATTATGTCAAGGGTGTTATAAGAAATAAAGGCAAATGAATTTTCATTTAAAAATTTATTTCAAAAATAATTTTGTGGAATTCAATTGAATTTTTTATTTTAAATTATAACATGATAAATTCATTTGCAAATGAATTCCACGCTTATGATTCATTTGTTCCAAATCAGTCACCTCTCGAGTTCTGAGGCCTAATTTCTTAGAGTCTTGATGATTATTCCTTCACTAATTATTACATTTTCAAGTTCTTATCTTTAGGAACATTTGTATTGTGTCTAATGGCTTGCCGTTTGAGTACTCTAAATTTTGTAACTCTCCAAAATTCTATCCCAACTTAAAATTTAAGCAAATATAAGTTAAAATCGGAAAACCAAACTGAATTCATACAGTTCAGCTTTTTTGGTTCGGTTATTTAGTTTGATTTAGGATTGTAGGTTGTTTTGATTTATAGAAAATAAATCAAATTTACCAAAATTCGAAATCGAACCAATTAAATTAAATCTTTTCAATTAAATTAAATTTGATTATTTCCATAATTTGGTTATGAATCGCTTTTGGAAAATATGTAATTCAATTTTTGGTTTTATCGACCTCTAATTAATATTTCAATTCGAAAAATATTTGGGGATTATACTAATCGGTTTAAAATTGAAAAGATAATAATTTTTTTAATATATATGTAATAATAATAATAATTTTCTAATTTTAAATTTCTCTCTCTCTTCTCTTCACCACGAACTTTTTCTTTCTTTCTTTCTTTCTCTCCCTCTTTCACTGCCGTTACCTCCATATAAATTAATTAATTGAAACTCACTATTCATCATTAATTCCCTTCATTTAATTTTCAAATTCAATTATCATATAATTATAGTAGAAACCAAAAATCAATAACTCACATTGTAAATTCCACCAAAATTATAAAATAAAAGTCATTATCTTTTACAATATTTACTTTCGAAAATATAATTACAAATAAAGTTTTATGTTGCTATATAATTAATTAATCTTAAAGATAAAATAAATTAGAAAAATTTAATGGCACTTTTAACTTTTGTGATGATTTATTAAACCTTTTGTCTTGTAAAATATACTTATTAGATACTTGTATAGGATTACATTCATTATAAAATTTTAACTCACAAAATTGAAAGATGTATAAGATGGATAATGACGTGAATATCATTATTTAATAATTTATATTAAAAGATATATAACTTGTCTCACTTGTTGAATACGATATTCCACTAATTGAAAAATATATAAATTTATGTTTAATAGGTGCAATTTTATAAATTAAAATATTTAATATATAATTATTTTATAAATTAAAGAGTTTAATTGATCAATTTAGAATGCAAGATTACATATAAACTTTCCTTGTAATTAAAATTCAGGTGTAAGTCTATATTAATCTATCAATTTTTTATATAAAGTAATGCTTAATTTCCCTCGTGAATTTATTTAGAATATACAAATTGCACAAAAAAAAAAATTTTCATTAATTACCACTCCATCTTTACATCATATGAACAAAATACCCAAAAAAAAAGAAATATTTACTTTTAATATTTTTAATTGATAAAATAAGAGGTAAGGATATTCAAAAAAATAAGAGGTAAGCAAATGCAATTGTCAACTTTCTTAAAGTAGCAGGTAATTCACTTATTAAGTGATTCTATTATTGAAGTTTTTGATTGGCTCTTGGCGTGAGGAACTTTCGGGTAAGAGGCGGTATGTGTTGAGTTCTTCCTTTGCTTTCAGTCCGTCTATGTGGTCAAATGTCCCTAACATGTGGTAATAAACTACATATAATTATTTTATAAATTAAACAATTGACAAATGTCTCAACAAGAAACTCGAATTTTCAACTATTCAAATTGCAATTTGAGTAAAAATCTTCAAAATATGGCAAGGTTACGCACCATATGAACAATAGAATGAAAATTAATTTTAAATTTAAATTTAGTTTAACTAATTTTTTTATAATTCTTGATTTAGTAATAGTTAATTTTGTTTATGTGTTATTTGCATTGTCAGTAACTTTATTTTTCGGGATTCTGTATTATTTGTTCATGATTTTAACATTTTTAATTTAACATAAAATTATCCACATAAAATTATTTAATTTTTTTCTCATCTATATATTATTTTGTTGTATATTTTCCACATTGAATTATTCGAATTCTATAATTTTATACTTTATATAGAATTATTTAAGATAAAAAAAAAGTGTTTGAATTATAAATTTTAACTAAAACTTTGCTAGATTAATTGAAATTTATAATTATTTTAAATAAATTAAGGGCATTATAATTTCTATATAACACAAATTTAATAAAGCAACCTGCGGAAAAAATGAATCTTAAATTATAAATTAAATATGATTCATTTATTAAAAATACATATTGTTTATAAATTATAAATTATAAACTGGCAAAGTAATCCGTACAACGCGCGAGCCTTCATCTAGTTATTATTGAAATAAAAATGAGTCAAGTTTAAATGTCTTTTAATTTCAGAGAGAAAATTTTCCATGTCGTGTGGAAGAAAATTTTTATGCTACGATTGAGAAAAGGGAGAAAGTAATATAAGAGAAAAGTAAAATTAGAATGTAAAATGATATTGTTGTTTCGTACATTCATCCAAATAAAACAAGTAATTTTAATAACCAAGACACGATTAAACGACATGTAATGTTTTCTCGGTTCAACGAGAATTTTTCCTTCTGATAAAATTTTGCAACATGCACAAACTGTTGTGGGTCCCTCCGCTTTGAAAAGAAAAAAAAAAGGAAAACGTGTTATTTGAAAAAGAAGAAAAGTTAGGCAATTTTTCTTTGACAAAGTATAAAGACGTGAATGAGTTACACACGACTCATTCACTGAAGTGCCTATAAAAGGAGGCAGACGAAGCTCATTTAAGCACAGCACAACACAAAAACACATAGCAGAAGAAGAAGAAAAAAAAATGTAGAGAGGTTATCTAGTTTTAGGAAGGGTTTCATAAAACTAGGGGAGAAAAAAATAGTGAGGAAATTATTTTGGAGTGTTTTTGGGAAACACTTTGAGTGCCGCTATTTTTGTATTACTCTCTTTGTGTACTTACTATTTTTAATAGTGGAAGAATTATTTGGAGTTTGTCCTGTGGACGTAACCCTAAACAGTTGAGGGTGAACCAGATAAATTTCTGTGTGTCCCATTTCTATTATTCCGCTGCGTTAATTTTCTCTTAATTGGTTGAAAGTTCCTAACAAGTGGTATCAGAGCTGATGCCCTGATGCCGCAAAACCTGGTAAATCAGAGTTGATGCCAACAAGTGGTATCAGAGCCGAAGGTTTTTCGGCAAGGCCAGCCGGTCAATAGTCAGATAGCGGTACCAGATCCGTGGATATATTTTAAAAATAAATATACCATGACGAAGAGAAAATTACGACGAGTCCATTGGTGCTGTCCGCTAGGAAAGACGTTGCATAATCGACTTAGTGATGAATAGTAAAATAGTAACTCAAAGTTTACGGTGAACAGTACTTCTGGCGTTACTGTTGCTGAGTCCATTTCAAGTACGTCCAGCACTATTCACATGTACAGTTACTATTCATGCATACAGTTACTACTATTCATGCATACAGTTACTATTCAAGTATACTGTTACTATTCATGGCACTATCCACGTATACTACTATTCACGTATACGGTTTATGTTGATGATGATTTTCTGCGCAAGTCAAAATGGACAAGCAAAATGATCAGTCTAAATGGCGGGAATTACCATATATGAAGACATGAGAGATCTCCTTATGGTAATCAAAATGCATTTGCCTGTGTTTAGTTGTGTAACATCCTCTTGAGTTTAGTCGGGTTGAACCAAACCTGGTTGGGGTAG